AGCCAATAGATAGCGCAGTTAGAAAAAAGAAAGAATCATCGCGTTATTGATTAGCAGGGTACGAATAAAATTGATGAATTCTCAAAATTTGCATTATAATGGAAATTGTCATACATCGTACGTAGGCATGAAATTATCATATATGTGTGATAATTATCGTACGGTTGCGAACACTGATTGATACATGTGCCATATGAACTTGCAAGAGACACAATTCAAGACTTGTTTTAAAAAATATTTACAGAGTATTGCTGAAAAGAATACCATAAATCTGGAAGACTTAACGAGAAGGCTAACATAGTTAATATTTTGTTGAGTATTAGTTATTACTGATCTGGTGCATACAATTTATTATCCACTTAAATATATTTGATAAAGAAAAAATATGTTTATGTTTTATAATTATTAGCAGGAAACTGAAAAATTCAAGAAATAATGTTCACTGAATGATAAAACCTCTATGTTTCAATATTATCTATGTGGTCGATTACCACAAAATGTGTTATATTTAAGAAACGGTAGCAGTTGTAGAGCATAGTATCGATTTTAGTTAAACAGAGAAGAAAAACATCAATAAATAATTCTTTCCTGCCTGCCAGAAATAATCAAGATTCTCTATCGACTTGATAGTTGAAGTTCCAGACCAAATATCTGGTAAGTTTATATCGTCGTTGCGTCTTCAAAATGCGACGTGCATATTTTCAGTAAAACGCGGTAAGTTCTGCAAATTCGATTAAGAATATCAAAACGCATAATCTGTTAAAAAAGAGCCATCTTATATTTTACAGAATTGTGACTATCTGCGGTAAAATAAAAAATAATGATAATTCTTGAATAAAAAAGTCAAAAAACAGTTTCTTAACTCCACTGAACAATTTAATAAAATTCATGTCATATTTTGAAGGCAGCGACGATATATTTTATCTTTCTTATTCAGTAATTTAAAATATTCTATAAAATTTGTGGTCAGTAAAAAAAATCTCTTTCGCAGCATTCTTGGCATTTGAAAAGAAAAACTTCCAATTTTAAATTAGGAAAAGACGTATTTATTGTCACATAAAATTTCTATGGTTTTGAATGGGACTAAAATGAAATATAATGGATATTAAGCAAATGAAATTTGTTGAAGTTCTTGAGATGTGGACATATAAATAATAATGGAGTTTTTGGAGACTTCTATGACGAAATGGGATGATACATAAAAAGAAATGTCCTAGTACGTATCTATGTTTAATTAGTAGTTAATACTTTTATAATCACTATAATTGATAATCGATATCTATTTTGAAGATTTTGAAAACGTTTTAAACACATTTTTATAACTTATTTAATCCATATTTGTCTTGTACGTATTAATATTTTTAACTAAATCATATATATTAAGTAAATAAACTCGATAGTGTTATATCTCTCTTTAATATATTTCTTCCATTTTTTATCACCCTGAAATTGTTAGCGTAAAGTAATAGATAACTAAAAAAATAAAAGTAAATATTGTTAAACTTTGTATAATAGGACCTTATTTCTGTATAACTACTGATAATTTGTTTTTAACTTTTTTTCAGTGAAGGCTTTGGAGAACATCAAGAGAAAATTAATAATGGTTAGGAAATAAAATGTTTCAAAATGGAATACGAGAGTAGAGAGTGGTTGGCGATAACGTTTGGTATCCAAGTTGTATTGTATCTTTCAAAATATGATTATCACTTTATAAAATTACAATTTCTATATATCTATAATTCATGAGTAAAATTATAGAAAATAAAATTCTTTTCTGTGGCTGTATTATATTTTCATATACACTGTTTGTTTTTACGTTAAAATTGTATATTTTAAAATGTTATATATTTATAAGGAAATAGATGTACACACAAAATTACAAGGACATATCTTAATTTAAGGCTTGGTTTTTAAGGTGTTGACGAACATCGACAATAACAGCTAGTGATCGTTACCAGAATATATTACAATGAATTTAATTAAAGCGTTTTTTAATGCCGATTGTTAAATATCCATCACCAATCATTGCTGGGGTTCATCTGCACCATAAGTCTAAGCATTTATTAACTGCCTACATTTGAATTATAACTATGTAACCACTTAGGGAGTGTGACTTTGTTTAAGGGGTGAATTTGTGGGACAAGTGAAGTGAGATCCCGGAATATCACACGAGTTGCATAAAATCATATATCGTAAAGTATGTAATATCAAATGTGATTTTTTCTAATTTTGACAAAAAATTAAAGCTTAGCTTTAATTCTCTTACTTCATAAATTTTAATTCAGTGAGATAAAATCTAAATTAGTTTTGAAATTCATTTTGAGAAAGATGTCGGTATAGAAAAATGTAATAATTAAAAATGTTTTCACACGATTGAGATTATTTTATTACTGTCAGATGCTTGACAAGCCCTATAAGTAGAATTTACCATGTAATAATTTGTAATGTTAACTATACACATGCAGAAAAAATCGTAGTTAATTGTTAACGTTTAAATTGTTTTGCAATTTTTAAATACATTTTCATGAAAACATTTTTCAATCGTGAAAAAAAATAAATATAAGATATGTCTCCTAAGTGTATAATAAATTCTCGGAAATTGAAAAAATTCTTGGTTTCACATTGTTTTTTCAAAGATTTCCTCGAATTTGTTATAAGGCANAAGCAAGATATAAAGCATAATATTGTTGATAACTGTTTTAACAAAAATTTCACTATTTGAAACGTAAAATACCTAAACAATTAGACCAATGTTGTATTGATCGACAGTTACTTAGAATTACCTAAACGTACCTATTGTATTAAATCGTGAAATGTTGAAAGTAACTATATACAAAGTGTGTATTTTTTTAAATCCGAAAAGTGCCTTTTACATTTTGCATAATATACTGTTGTTCCATTTAAAATAATCGGCAGTGTTTCACAAAAATTTAACATTTCTGTTAAATTTGCTTTACGTCCGCTCATTTTATGTTTATGTAAAAACAGCCAAACAGAAAAAGTTGAGTGATGAATTGAGTACAGCACAAAATAGATCATACGTAAATGTAACGCAAATATAATATAGGTTAGATTAAACTGAAATTAGAGCGCAAACTCCGCTTTGTCTACATTGTCTACATAGTCTACGTTGTTTACATAGTCTACGTGTTTACATAGTCTACGCGAAGTCTACACGTAGACGTCGACAATTAAAGTCGACGCGTAAACGCCCATCCCTGAAGCTTAGCTTTAATTCTCTTCATAAATTTTAATTCAGTGAGATAAAATCTAAATTAGTTTTGAAATTCATTTTGAGAAAGATGTCAGTATAGAAAAATGTAATAATTAAAAATGTTTTCACACGATTGAGATTATTTTATTACTGTCAGATGCTTGACAAGCCTATAAATAGAATTTACCATGTAATAATTTGTAATGTGTTTGTCTATACACGTGCCGAAAAAATGGTAGTTGATTTCTAACGTTTAAATTGTTTCACAATTATTAAATACATTTTCATGAAAACAGCATTCAATCGTGCAAAAAAATAATAAATATAAGATATATCTCGTAAGTGTATCATAAATTCACGAAAATTTAAAAAAATTCTTGGTTTCAGATTGTATTTTCAAAGATTTCCTGAAATTTATTATAAGGCATTTACCAACCTGCTGTTTAATCTCTTGAACGCTTGATGTATATAACTGGCATGAGCAAAGTCAATAAATAAATAGTGATTATGACAGAAATATACGCTGCTAAATAATTTGTGTCTTTGCTAACGATGGAAAAGTTTGCTTGTGCATATGTATTGCCTACAAAGATCTATAGCGACTAGAATGGTATAAGTTGTTTTACTTGTTTATAACGGTATAGATCTTTGAACGGGAATATTATTGTATCATATGTTTCACGAGTTATTTATGACGATTTAGCAAATATATTAACTGAAATAGGGTGACTGGATGTTACATGAACGTATTCAGGTATTGCATGTCCCATTTTTTCGTTTACCGGTAACACGAGAATCCAAATTCCTTCTCTACATACTGATCACAAGAATTATATGTATTTCCAACAATTTTAATATTTGTTTTGTTTTTATTTTCTTATAATTTAAATGCAGTATACTGTTTATGACGATCAGAATTTTATTGTAAACTGAATATGACGTATAATACGCTAGCGCGAAAAGGAATTACGGAGGTTAGTTACGGTTCAAGAGGTTAATGTACTATGTAATTCATGTAGTATTCTAACAAATTTATTTCATTATGAACTCTCCCCGTGTTCATATAATTTATGTGTACCTATTTTTTCTATAACTTTTCATTAAAAATCGTTAAATTTGAATATATTTTCAATAATACCAAGTTATTTTACCTATCTCATCAGGTAGTATTTCTGAAGCCAATAACTGATGTAATTTAAAGTAAACAAAATTGTGAATTTGAGTTTATTAAATTCATTGTTAATAACTGCATTTTTTTAAATGTTTTGTTGGTATTATAACTGAATTTATGAATTCATATCAATATTTTTACTTTAAAAATTATTTCAGTTATTTGTCACAGAAATATTACTTGCAATCCTTTATTACAAGCCACCCTGTATAATAAAAGCGAAATGACCCCGTCATTTATCATCAAGGCCGGCCTGCCATCGAAGGCCTTTTTAGTTCACCCTGACGGCCGGTAGGTTCGCTACGGTTCTGTTTCTTTTTCTTAGGTGCTCCGTTTTCTTCTATTACATATTTTGTGGTTTTAATGGTATTATAAATGAATTTATGAATTCATATTTGATATCAATATTTTTACCTTAAAAATTATTTTGGTTATTTGTCACAGATATATTAATTATAATACTTTATTACAAGATACCCTCTATAATCAAAGTGAAATGACCTCGTCATTTATCATCAAGACCTTTTTAGTTCAACCTGACGGCCGGTAGGTGCGCTACGCCTGTTTCTCTCTATTTCTTCGAAGCTTCGTTTTCTTCTATTATATGTTTTAATTGTTTTGTGTATTCTATTACATGTTTTGTGATTCAGTTTATTCAGAAACTAATTAGTAATTTATATGCTAGAAACGGAAATTATAAATTAAATATATATACCTATAATGGCAGGGAGTCGCTTAGAAAAAATTGGCACTATTTTTACAAGGTAAAAGTAAAACGGTCATTTTTTTTACCTACTTATATAGTTTTCATAGAAATTCAGGTTTACTTCAGTCTACAGCCTTAAAATGGGAAGATCGTCCGTTGTGGTATGATGTGTATGCAACATTTCCGCCATTAGACATACCAAAAATTAAAAGGCCCGAGCTGAATATTAAATTGAGGCACATATTTTACGAAGAAGATAAAGTTAGATCGTAAGTTTTATAATTATCAAAATTAACAATTTACATCATATAGATTTATAAATTAGTAACTTAAAATAGACAATTTTCAGAGTAGGTATATAAACAAACAATTTTTTCTGTCACTCATACCCATTGAGATTAGGGGCATTATATTAAGGAAATAATTATTTTTAACCATAAATTTAAAGCACTTCATGGTATCAAATTGATTTTATAGGTCAGGTCAGTTATTAACTTTGTGGATACACGTATCCACAAATTAATGTGAAAAAATCCATAGAAGTCATAACATAACTAAAAAATCTGTAAAAAAGTCTTTAAAAATTAAACAAGAATTTCTTGGAAATTATTCATTTTCCTCCTTCCGAGATTAACAACTATTAGCTTATAAAACCGGCGATATTAATAAACAGCCTTGTTTTATTTACTTGAGATCTCAGTTAATCTCACGTAGGTAATTGGAACAGCATTCACAATAGCGGAGATCTCAGGTAAATAAAATTTGGTTAATTCGTTAGCTACCTACGTCACAGATTATAATTACACATCAAAGTGTCTATAACACACAGTCTGAGATTTACCCCAGATGGTCTAAACTCTTAACTGTACGCAATATCAAGAATTAAACCAAACTAAACATTTGATTTATTACACATTTTATTTTTGACTTGTGTGACAATACAAAAAACATATCAAATTCATGTTTTACAAGTTACTTTGTAAAGGAACATGAAATTAAAAACGAATTTTATTTCAACAATAGTCTTCTTAAAAATATGCAGAGAAAGCCAAAATAGGATTTAAAAAGTTTCATTGTCTGCCTTCAATTGGAGGCAAGTTTGGTGTTAACATCTAGCTAGATTTGTTTTGTTCTTTTCTAATTGTAACAGATTAAATGACAGAGATATACTTATCTAGAGCATCTAGATGTTAATACCGAACTTGCCTTGCATTAACCAAAGCATGGACATAGTTCTGAATTATGTAGTTGTATTGGACTAGGGCGCATGGACCCGACTTCAAGCGTTTATGTGCTAGTCCACTCTTACACCTTACTGAGGTTTAGGATCTACGATCTTCAGAATCTCCAGCCTCCACCCAAAGTCCGGAAATAAACAGTTTTCGAGATATCGACAATGCAAAGTCTCAAAAAATGGAATATTTCCATCAACCTGAAAATGGAAACGAGCACTTTTAGAAATTATTATTACCCATTCTTTTATTATTTATTGGGTTTGGATGAATTTGAGTATTCATAATATGTATATTCATGGAATGGAAATCAGTACAACTACACCCCCGAGACACCGCCAAAATAAGGGTTGAAAAACTAAAATATTTATATCTTAATTTATTACAGGATTATCCACGTGTTTTTTTCATAAATCATTTTAAGAACATATGTATAGAATTTCATTCCGAAATATCCCTAAAATAGGGGTAGAAAAACTAAAACATCTCAGGTTATGAGATTGTCCACCTGTATGGCTAAGAGCATCTGTTGAAAAATCCTTGAGCCATTTCCACCCTGAAACACCCTCCAAATAGGGGTAGAAAAACAAATATTTATATATTGGGTTGTTATGAGATTATCCGTCTGTTTTTTTTATAAATCATTCTACAGGGTGAGTTTTTAGTGCGTATTTCTTCCGTAGTGTTCGTTCCTTATAATATTCAACAAAATGGGACAGTGCAAGGTTTTTCTGCCATATTTTTGCATATTTTAAAAATTATTGACGAGTATACAGGGTGTTGCGTTTTCCCTGTACACGGTTCAACTTTCTTATTTCAAATGGAACACCCTGTACAATATTCTGATGAAGCAAGAAATTCTTAATCAAAAACATATATTATACCCTATACCTAATTCTAGCGGTTTAGGAGATATTCTACATTTCTTATAAAAAGTGACAGTCGCAGAGGTTAAGCACAGGTTTGAACTAACTGCTAATGCTAATTATAGCAAAACACTACGACGCAGACGAGTTAACAATGAGAATACCCAATTTCTCTTTGCTGCCAGTGTTGTTGAAAACCCTCAAATAGGATCAAGAAAAATTAGTAGCAATCTAAATGTATCACAAACGTCTGTAGTAAAAACTTTACGGCGACTGAAATTTCACGCTTATCACCCTGAATATGAGCAAAGACTTACAGAGCAAGATTTTCAAAATAGAGTAAATTTTTGTCAGTGGGCAATAGGCAAAGTTGAGGACAGAAATGATAACCGGAGTCCCCATTTAAAGTTTTTATAGATAAACAGCATCGCTTTTCCGTCAATTGGGCAGGCATCATTGGACAATACTTATACTCATATTTTCGACGGAATCCTAAAAGGTGAGATGTACCTCCATTTCCTCCAGACAGATTTTGAAGACTTATTGGAGAATATTCCTCTGCGTGCCATTAGGCGTATATGGTTCATGCAAGACGGAGCACCGCCTTATTTTAATGTTCATGTCCGTCGACATCTGGATAATTTAGTTTACGAAGAGCCCTCGCAAACTGCTGATGAGTTAAGAGCAAAAAATCAGACGTGCCTTCGCTTCAATCACCCCCGAAATGTTGGAAAATGTACAACAGTCGTTTAGACAACCCTTACAATTATGTATAAGAAGAGATGGCCGAAATGTCGGTCATTATTAGCTTAATTTTATAATAATTTATTCTTTGTTTGCTTGATATTGTTAAATTTTCGTATGTATAATTATAGTTCATCTTTGTTACCTACATACGTAGTTTATTTAATGTTAAATGAATAAAATCTAAATGTTTGTTTTTTATCATGGCTACCTAGAAAAAAACATAATTTTTATGAAAATTTCTTAATATTAGAATGAATCGCGTACTTATGTATACTCACTATATTAATGTATATGTACTCACTATATTAATATTCAACTAGTTATAGTTGCAAAAGGTAGATGCATTTACGATCTTTCCGTGCGCCAAAAATTAAATGCCTACTTGCCAAATGAAAGAAGTTACAAAGGTATCAACCAACCTCTGTGACTGTCACTTTTTATAAGAAATGTAGAATATCTTCTAAACCGCTAGAATTAGGTGTAGGGTATAATATGTTTTTGATTCAGAAATATTTGCGTCATCAGAATATTATAAAATATACAGGGTGTTCCATTTAAAATAAGAAAGTTGGGCCGTGTACAGCGAAAACGCAACACCCTGTATGTTCGTCAATACTTTTAAAATGTGCAAAATATGGCTGAAAAACCTTGCACTGTCCCATTTAGTTGAATCAATGACTATAATTCTTGTTATAGTCACTGGTTGAATATTATAAGGAACGAGCGCTACGGAAGAAATATGCACTAAAAACTCACCCTATATATGGCTAAGAGCATGTGTGGCAAATTATTCGAATCATTTCCACCCCAAAATAGGGGATATACAGGGTGTCCCACCTGGAACTGAGTCTATCGATATCTAGGAAAGTACTGCTTCGAAAAATTTGAAATTTTGGCAACATGGCAGTGTCTCTGGGGCGAACACAACTAAAATATCTAGAACTCTCCAGCACTTCCGGTTATACGTGAAATTTGACGGTCACTTTATTAAATATTCCCTATACCTAGAAGTTATAGATTTTGAGATATTAATTTTTAAAGAAAAAATTTAACAGATGCAACGGTCCGGGGAGATGCTAGTAACTCTTTTTAGGAGCATGATATCGAGCGGATTTTTGGTGCCTGTAAAGGGCATAGGTAATGCTAAATTAAGGTATCCCAACAAATTAAAACATTTAATAGTAGGTGTTTCACTTTTCCTGTTACATTTTGATAACTTTAAGCAGCTATAACTTTATTAACTTAAATGGAACACCCTATATTTTTTTACTCTATCGTATGCAGATTGAAATTTCCTTTCAAGTCATATAAGCATTGTTAGGGTTACCGTTTCTACTTTTAGAGATATTTGCAATTTTCTATTTTTTGGACACTTGCTTGTATCAGACCTGTTGTCAAATTAGCCATGACCACAAACACTCCAAAAACAATTATAATAATTTGGCATTTATCAAGTCAGTTGTCAAATTATTGTTATATCTGTAATAGGTAATAGTTTTGCTGAAAATTTAAATAAAAATGCCTGGGTACCATTTAAATTATACTTAAGAGGATTATTTTAATTTGTGTAATGGAAAAAAGTAGCAGATTCTCTATATGTTCTTGAAATTACTTTGTCACATTTTCCATAAATAACAACCAAATTAAAATAATCCTCATTAGTATAATTTAAATGGTCCTCAGGCATTTTTATTTAAATTTTCGGCAAAACTATTCAGACATAACAATAATTTGACAAATGTCATGTTATTTCAATTTTTTGGAGTGTTTCTGGTCATGGCCAGTTTGACAACAGATCTAATACGAGAAAAACTGCCCAAAAAATAGAAAATTGCAAATATCTCTAGAAGTAGAAACGGCAACCGTAATGCCCGTATGCATAGTCGATCGCCAGCGACTCGCCAGAGATTCGCCGTTCGCTGGACGAGATTTTCAATGCACAGTCGTTCGCCAGCTAAGTCAAGCATGCGCATTAGTGAAACTTATGGCGAAGCGCCGAAGAATCGCCGGAGATTGCCAGTAGCATCTCCAGCATTTCTCCAGAAAGCAAGTAACCTATTTTTATTGTGTTTTTGAGATTGTTCCAATAATAGATCGTGATTTTAATATGTTGTATAAAGCAAACAGAGATATTTCTGATTTAGATATACTCACACCTACACATGGTGATTCACAAACGGTGATCAAAAATGAAACCTAGTATTCTTTGGTGAATTTTAAGGGGTGTCTATCATATAAAGTTTTTATTTAGGATGCTTTGTTAAAAAGATACTGGGTGTTAAATTTTAAAAAATATTTAAAATTTTTTAAAATAATTTAAAAACTAGTATATATTTATGTACAAAATCTGAGGCTTTTTCCGAAAATTTAGATGCTCCAGTGTCGGAGTTACAGGGTATCGGTAGCATATTTTTCTAAATTAAATAAATAGTACGCCACTGCTTTACGGTCATCAATCATGATATTTTCGAATTCATCTTTCAATTTTCTACTAATTACTACTCTTGTTTTTCGAAAAAAAGTCTTTAAAATTACATAGTAGGCTGCAATTTGAAATTCTGAGCAGTTCGAAAAAAGAATAAATATTGCTTTTCATCATAATCAAGCAACAATAAATTTCGAACAAATTACATTTTCGTTACTAAAAATATGTCACGCATGTGTTCGTGGAGGTATTTTTTAGCATTTACTCAAATATAATCATTAAAATCATGACTAATGTTATTAATTTCTTTATTCGAT